GTCTGTGTGGAGATCAACAGTACTCAGCATGAAAATGAAAATAAGATGCGGATTTTCGACTCCAATGTGAAGTCAGTGCTACTATACGCCTCAGAGACTTGGCACCGCATCCCGAAAGACACTTCAAACAAACTATGGACCTTCATCAACTGCTGTTATCACTTAATACCCTGCTCAAGATCAAATGGTCAGCCAGAAAAGATCAGTAACAGGGATATCTGAGAGCGTACCAACCCAGAAAGAACCAATTTTGTAACAAATATGTAGGAAGAAGTAGAGGTGTATTTGCCATACTCTGATGAAACCATCCAGTCACATCACACTCCAAGCCATCGCTTGAATGAAACGCAAATTGGAGCGGCGAGTTGGTCATCATTGTGAGGTTGAGATGGAGGAGATGATGTGAAGAGGAGATGACAGCATGTAGGGAGATGTGGAGCCGGGTGGAAACGTTGGCGGAGTGTCGAATGCTATGGAGGTATGCGTCTGAAGCCCTAAATTCCTCTAGGAATTAAAGGAAACGATAGGAATAATAATCGTTTATCTCAGCCAGCCTTCCAACTGTATTTGTATTGGAATCGTTACTTTATCGAAATGTACTTTTTTTCTCTTGAGAACTGCTTCGCACTGAAACTTCATCTCAAATATACAGCTAAAAATTTGGATGTATTAAATAAGCACTCCATTTATGTGGAGGTTACGGAAGACCAGCATAATCATGAAATTTATGACTGTTAGTCTGAAATATGTGGCGTCAAATCAGATACCTAGTTGGTTCCTCTTGAAGGACGATATTAACTTTTGGTGATTTGATTTAAGGCTGGTGTCAGTTGTTCAGATATATATTGATTTTTTGTCCACAGCTAAATCTATGCCCGTAATTTTACAATCTCGTGATATTTTACTTGATTCAATACTGCTTTTGGCTAACATCTTTGATTCCTCTTCTTCCAGTCTTGCTGCGTAAACCATCATATGACATTTGTAGGTTCTTTATCTATAATAACTGACTGTGTTGGTTTAGCGTCGGCGGTCAGATAAACTTTTCTGTGTTTCTATTCCTTGCAGATGATGAGCATAGGTTCACGGTACACAAGATTGACTAGTGACATCTAAGTCTCCCATGTCAGCTGACGATATGTTTGAATTTTTTAAGCGATGTCTGCCTTCTTCCCAGGAAGACAGGATCCATTCATTAAGATGTTTGCAATCACAATTAGTCCTACAGCAATTCAAGAATTTCACTTTTAATAGCTTATCAATTGATATATCTCATGACTCTAGAACTCACAATTTGTCTCTCGGACCTCATTATCTAAGCATTCACTGAATAATGACTAGTGACTGAAATCCATTGATAGTTTAAAATGCAACCATCAGACTACTTCCAACATAGTAGACATGTTTGATGAAGTTTTAATATGCGGTATAAATATCATTATCCTGTTAAGTGTGTCACTGAGCTGCAATATAAGAATGAAACTTGATAGTTATTGCAGACATACAACATAAACCGATATAGTATTTCGTATTTATTAATCATTCGTTTGAAGGAAACGGATTGATGTCCACATTATATTTCATTTTTCTAACCTCATTTTAACAATGCAGCATAAACGTTTTATTTCACGCCTTGATACTATTCAAAAGTTTATCAACCATGAGCGAGCAAATTATGAGATAAATTTTCAGTAAGTGTTTATACATATATATATAATCATATTTTAATTTTGCCAATATCTCGAGCCAAAGTATCACCTCTTATTAAGTATAAACATTCATTATAAATTTGTTTATAATATGCAATTATTAGATCAGTGATCTTTGTAGGCATGATATTATGAAATGTTTTATACTTAGATGTTCACAGATAACAAAGAAACACTCTGAATGGTGATCTTTCATGAAGTTATTTATCTTCGGACAAGCTACTTATGATGAAAACGTCTTAAAGTGAATTGTCTTAAGAACTCAAACAACTGAATGTAATCTAGACGCAGGAAAGCGATTTCTGCGTCCTATCGTAACCATCCAAAACTTTTCTCAAACATGAGCGGTCACAGAATTCTTTAAAGACAGCAAGATGATGACTGTTCGTGGCTGGATTCTATGCATGATTCTCAGCAGTGTCGGTAGGCAGCTTTACAATGAAGAGGAAGTTCTAATTACAAGACAAGTACTTAAAATCAAGTAAAACATTTCCAAAGAAAAAATGGACAAGACAAGGAATAGCTGTTAATGGATACCTGGAAACTAAAATAAGAGAGAAGGATGGTAAAAGGGAAGATGACTCAATGCAAAGATGGGGAACAGAAGAAAAAGTTAAGTTCATTGTGCCCTGCGCTGAATAAGGAAGTAAAGAAGAATGCTAGGAAATACAAAAGACAATAATACGGCACACTGGCTGGCAGCTGAAGCAGAACAGACCACAGGCAAAAACGGTCTCAGAACATTATATCAAATAACCAGGTCTCTGCCCGGAAAGAGGTCAACCCAGACGAGGAAACCAATAGAAGGTTTTGAAGGGAAACTGATTACGACGGAGGAGAAATAGGTAAAGCAATGGGATGATCACTTTGAAGGACTCTTGAATCGACCTTTACTTACAACTTGCCCAGAAATACCAATAACAGCACGCACAGAACTGCCTACCAAAGGACCGGAATCCTCCAAGGCTAACAGAAATCCTGAATGCAGTCAAGCTGCTGAGATCTAGGAAGGCGGAATCTCCCCTGAAGCGCTGGGAATGGACCTAGAGACCACGGCAGGTGGGCTCGTATCATAACTGCGAAAGGTTTGGAAGAAAAGATAGGTATCTACCAACTGGAAGAAACGTTTCATCATTTTAAATCATACTATTCAGCTGAAAAAGGCTAATGCTGGGATTCAAGATGAGCATTACGTTTTTTGTGAGATTCGTCAGTTGAAGGTACCAGCATTCATAGTCAGTAATATTGCTTCCATTGTGACTTGAATACACTTTCGAAAGGCTATTTAGTGTACGTTTTCAATGCTTGGGCTATTCATGTTTAAAAGACTAATAAATAAACAAAGAATATTCTTCCTGATAACGCCTTCTTCATCAGATTCTACAGTAGCAATTTAGAAAATATTGTTATTAATGACATTAATACTACGAATCACATTAAATCAACAGAATTGACATATTACACTTCAGTAAGACGGATGTAATATGCATTATTATTATTATCGTTCCCTGGCGTTCCGAGTAGAACATTGGGCTTCAACAACACACCACCACTTTGTTCTATTCTCTGCTGTCCTCTTCAGCTGGGTCCACGATTGCCCATAATCTATCATATCCTCCTCCCCAACACACAACCTTCTCCATGTCTCCCTCGCACCGACGACACACTCATCATTTCACATTGGAGTTCTACTCAATCACTGGTCTGGCTAATGGGCGATGTCATTCTACGGTTTTCTCAACATATACCCGATCCATCTCCATTCTCTTCTATATACCTATTGAGTTATCAGGTCTCACTTGTTGGTTTGTTGCCAGAGTCTCCTGTTACTTATTCTATCTGGCTGTTTGATGATCAGAATGCAACCGGCGTAGACAGCGGTTGGTAAAAGGCTGCAGTGGCCTGCTGGAAATCTTCTTTGTGACACGCAGTGCACGCTTCTGTTCCACATAGAGAGACTGTCTAGTTAACTAGCTTCCTAGTGTTCTAGTGAGTCCCAAGCTGCGGTAGAGAGGGAAGGTTGAGAGTTGGGCTAGCGATACTATACCACAAAAGCTAATAGACAGATAGAGAAATTTCAATGCGCCAAAAATATATATTAAAAATAATATTCATTAATATAGCGCTAAACTACATATCAAGTGAACTAAGGGAAATTAATGCAGAATTTATGAATTTATAGCCTGGACAGAAAGCCAGGGTAAGAATACCGGCTTGACCTGGTCTTTTGACACATAGAACTCCGGTTGTTTTACACGGATTACAATGGCTTCTGCTGTTCGCAGTATTCGGTATCTAGATGCCTTCGGTAACTAATCCCACACCTTGTAGTTGATAGAGAAAGATTCTTCAGTGTTAGCTTTGGGACCTGTTTGTACGAGGTGGTCCGATAGAGAAGAGATGACGATTTCAACAATACTATTTATTTAACCGCATCGATAAGTATTCCTGGGCTCGAAAAATTACGTTCCTAGACCAGTGGCCAATATAACTGGCTCCACAGGAGCACATAAATTTACAGATACAATCACAGGTGGCTAGTCTCGGTGCTTCACCTTTCAGTATTGGAATCGTAACCGCTTGTGTGGAAAACATGTTCTTTAAGTTGGTGAAAAGTAGAAGTTTTGTGTTTCATTTGAAAATTTTGAAAAGTTATTGCTTCTGTTAATGCTGTGTTTCCAAAGTGACACTTTCAAACAAGTATTTCGCGAACACTGTGGAAGAAAAAAGCTCATAAACAAAACAGTGCTATATCAAAAATGAGTAGTTAAAATTTACACAGTTTTATATCAAAAAACTGGTTTCATGTAATCATTTTAAATATTTATATATGTTTGTATTTTTTAGACGCAAAAGACTCTACAGTTGAAAAGTCTTTGAAGAAAAAAACCTTGGAAAATTGTGATCACGTTGTCTGTAAAACAAAGTCTATTGATCTGCCGATATAACCTTGAAGTTAACTTCAACCAATAAAAACTGCTCTGATGCTATGTGGGTGTTGGACAGACTTAAATATATATATATAATTTACATAACCGTAATAGAATCATGAAAATACTATTCACTGATGTAGCGCAATTCAGAGGGAAATTCAAATTTTCGCTGAAAGTAACACAATGAATTGTCCACATTTTTTCGACTTTCTTAAAATAATGATATACGCGTCAGGTGGATAGAAGCATAACTTTTATAGATGATTTTTAAACGCATGCTCACAACAATTTTGACACAGTGGAACATATTAATCTCATTTCTGAGATAGAAATCTAAACGCAATTGTAATAGAAAGTGATGAAATACAAATTCACTTTACTAACACCTTGGACACTTTTGCCAACATCAGTGCCCGATTATGACTGTGAAGACAAAGAGGCGACACTATTTTCTAAGCTGTTAAGTGAACATGTTGAAAGCCAATATGGTTGGCAGGTGTTTTGGCCAACTGGTCGTGGAGAAGCCTTTCTACAGAATTCTTTCAATTCATTTGAAAATAGATTTCTAAAGTATTCTCAATATGCTTTATTGATTGTTTCTGGTGAAAATGCTACATGTCTGGATCATATATATCCTAGATTTCTGGTCTTTTTTACAGCAAAACAATCATGGGCAGATAGAATTATAATTGTATTTTTAAAGAAGCCGATATATTCATTCATTTTTGATACAAGTTTGTTAAAGCATCCACCGATTATATTCAATGGTAATTCATCTGATCAATGGAATAATGATAAAGAGGCATGGTCACGAATTAAAGAGTTGATAGAACGTAAGTAAATTACATTTAATTAAATTAATTTCAAGTATTGGTTTTGTTGGGATTACATTGGATTGCTTGAAGGATTTTATCATGAGATTACTGGACGGCTCTTTCATTCTATTTTTGAACACTTCTTCAGTACGCCTCACTGTCAGGGATTCAATCTACGACCTCTTGATTACAAGGCTAGTGAGCTCGCATACCACTGAGCCGCTGGAATCCAGTCCAACGGCCAGTCCATGAATTCTAAATTCAACCAATCCACGACATAATGCGACCACTTCACAATGTCTTCTTTGATGAGTAACTGGCCTCATTTTCGACCTTATGTCTCCTACTGGTCACGACTTCCCACTAGAACCCCAGGTTAACTGCCTGAATAGGTCCAGTCACCTTGTAGCCAGATGGTCCTGAGTTCGAACGCCTGCTGGTACATACTGATAAGGAGTTCCAAACCAGGCTGAAACAGCTGTTCAGCACTCCCAGGTTTTCCGACGGTTCTCTAGCTGGTGTCAACTCATGATGTAATCCTCCAACCAATTAAATTATTTGCATAAATTTCGAAACTAATTTGTAAATAATGCATATTTTTTTGGTATGCCTCTGTACCGAAGCAAATAAAAATGCGATTATAAAGTCTCGGTAATCATTCTATAAGAACGATTCATCTAAGAATAATTACTCAGCAGGGGTGCATCTGTCTTTGAACAGTTAACTTGAGAATTACTGCTTACCTTTCTACTAGACGAGAAATCAGGGTCAAATGTGCTTTAGGGTGAGAGTTACATTTCAAAATGTTTGAGTAAATTGTGATATGAATGCACTGAATTTTCCTGCGTTTTATTTATTCCCCTAGGAGTATCGTTGATCATTTTTGGAAAATGAACAAAAGATTCCCATATTGAGTCATAAGAAAAAGGCTTAAATAGAGGAAGAAAATTTTCTTTTCGACGATTCATTTTCATAATCTGCTACACAATCGTAATTATATTCAATAAAGAAATCATTAGACCAATCAGTTACTGGTAGAAGTTGTTCTCGAAAAATGTGTTGCGTAATTTAAGGTGTAATCTGGAAGCGATGACTAACTGGAAGTTAGAAAAGATTTCACGCACTTGGTCCCCTTGATAAATTTCGACAGAAAAAGAAAGAAAGATCAGATTTGCAGTATAAAATGTGATATCATCATTCTATTTCACAGACTATCATCAGCTGCAGACTATCTGAAATTACAAGGGTTATAAATAATGACATTTCATACTTCTGTGTTTGAAAGGTAATAGAGGAAACATTGTAAGCTGAAAGCATCATGAATATAAGTATTACAATTTACGCTTTAAGTCACCATCAATTTATATTCTATCAAACTATGTGAACTCAAGAAGGTTAAAGTTCATCAAATTGAAAACTTGCTTAGTGAGCTGAGCTCACTAGAGTATATGACTATTCAGTATAATGAAAGTAATACGGTTACCAAAGGAGTGAGGCACAAGTTTTGTCTGAAATGCTGGATTGCAATTGCTTCAGCAAATGGTAGTAAACTTGCTGTTCTTTGTATGTTTAATATTTTGAACGATTTGGAAATCTCGACAAAATGACCCTTATCCACAAGCTGTCTGGTAATTTCACTTTGTAAATATCTGCTTCCTTTTCGGCAGAAAAGAGGCAGACATTGGCATGACATAATAAGTTTGAGATAATGACTAATCGATAAGCTCGTGTAGAATGGACAGAAACTAGTGGGAAGACGGTAAAGTGTTTTTATATAAAATCTGTATGAAAAAGCGATGTTATTAATAAACGGTAATAGAGTGGTAATAAAATGTGGATGATGGGAATAATAATGACAATAAAATAATAGTAGTAATAACAATAATAATAGTAAACTTACATAATAAAAAGAAGCAAAATTATAGTAAGAACTTAACTCTCGCCACCGTAGGGCGAGTGAATGTATGTAGCGTTTTTGAATGCAGAGGTCCGGTTTCAGATCCTGAATAGCTAATGATTCAATTATGTACAGATAGCACATGCCAAGTCCCCATATACCATATCGGCAGACTTTGTGTAGCAATATGAAGCATTCATGTGGAGGTGCTCGATATCCAGAAATTACAAGATGTCCAAGGATGAAGCTGCTAGTATTCTGCTTTTCTCCTCTGGCTAGATAGCCAGTATGCGTTTACCGACTTGACGTTGCGTACGGTCAGTATACTTTGCTCCAGACGAGCAAGCTTATGAAAATGAATTGTTGAAAAGAAAATTTTCTTTCGGGAAAGGGGAATTTCATGACTCCTAACTGTTCATGATGGTATCACCCTATGTCTTTTCTTCTCTTTTGTGATTTCATGTTCCTCACCGTTGATAGATTCCTATGAAATACTTGATGGTTTTGTTGTTCCTTCATTCTATTCTGTATTTAATATGTGAACACTGAAAGTTAGAAAGTCATAGCATACTTAGCAAACTTTTCAGGAAAACTATTTGGTATTTCCTTCTTTGGAAGACTTTCTTAAGACTGACACACGGTAATAGAATATTTAACTAGGTGTCGTATGATTGTTCTGCATGATTTGCTAGTTTCACACTTGATCAAGCTCCTTTGATAACTAGTTCTCTGACAAGATGAAAAGGTCTTTACTCTTTCCTAACGTCGTAAGTTTATTTTTTTATATAGGGGAAACTCACAAGTAGGTAAAATGAGAAATACTTATAGAAATGTCCTATTGGTTTAAAATTCCGAAAACTGTTGATAAAAAGAAGAATTAGAGTATGATAGTCGCTTCACATAATAATAATAATAAGAGAAAAGTTGCTTCACAATCAGTTATAACCGCTGAATTCGAAAGCATGAATGCACAGTGCCCGCTTATATCTTGAATTACAGTGTAGAACAAATTTTCCTTTGTAATTTATTGCATATCTGCAAACTTAACTGCAGTCTTAACTGTAAGCACAGTAATTAATGCTGTCAGCGGGAATATTATCAAGCTTCTCCACCAAATGAAGCATAAAATTATGAGTCGCTAACCTCCATCACTAATGCACCAAACCAAGGGTTTATATATTTCCCTCTGCTGAATCACTAAATATTCTTTTCCGGTGAAAGAGGTTTACGCAACAAGAGATCGAAAGACAAGGGTATTTAAGCTACCTTTAAGGTGATTATATGCTAAGCGGTTTACACAACAGCAGGCGAATATTAAGAGATGATTGGAATGAACCATAGATCAGGAATATCGATTCATTCACTTTTGATCTGATGCATACAGTGTGATGTGGATTGTCTGGCTGTATTCTTTAATATACTGACAACGAATCACCAAAAATACCCATTGAATCACGAAGAAAATAAAAGACAAATTCAGCGAAGAAAATTCTCTTTATCAACAAAATCATCTTCAGAGGCTGCACAGTCATATTTATACTTACAAAAAAATATATAGTGGTCTACTATTGAGTAATAGGGGGTGACAATTAATTTTATTACTCAATAGTAGATTTAGAGGTGAAAGTTAAAAGTTGTAAATTACGTGGTATTCAACGGAACAAAGATAGAAGTTTGATAAGGTTAAAATTGCTATTGAGTGATAAGAAAGGTATTTGAGTGTCAATTTAACAAGTGTGAAGAGGGTGTTAAAATATAAAAAAGGAGCATATGAGAGTGATAATAGTGAATTAATTATTAAAACGAAAGCAAACTAAAAGTAAAAGAAAAAAAATAAAAATTTTTTTTTACAGGAAGCGATTAGTGAAGGGGTTAAGACCAAGGTAGAATAAGAGACTGGACAAATGTTTTCTGTATACAGAGTTCAGGATTGTATTGATGAATTGCCAACGCCTCCGTCATACACAAAAGCCGAAACCTGACGCCCTTTGTACCATTCGGCTTCACTTTGTAAATGATCTTGAAAGACGACTCTGGTAGAGCTACGTGACCTGAGTTCACCAAATGCTCGAGAATTGAGCTAGTAATTGTCTTACATTTTCCCTTTGCTAACCATACGGGATAATGTTCAGAGATGCATTTGGAACGCGTACAGTTTTTACGGCCAACATAACTAGCTCCACACGAGCAAGTGAATTTTAGAAACACACATTGAGGAGGTCTAAAGTGGCGGCAGTTTATCCCTCACATATCTCTTGATCATTTGTCGGCTGTAGAAATTTATACGTAGCTCAGCTATCCTCAGTGATCTACATAAGCGATTTTGAAGATGATTTTGTCGATAAAGAAAAATTTCTTCACTGAATATGTCTTTTATTTTCTTCACGATATTGACAACGTTTTGTTTTTTACGATGTTTGAAAATCTGAAATTTCTCGGCTTTCTTAATTTAAGAAGACGTATCATTTACCTAACTTATATGTTCTCAATTCACACTGGGTTGGAATTCCTTGTTTGGTTATAGTCTCTCCTGTCATGTCTATTGTTGTGTGCATACCAGCGCAAATCCCATCACGTTTCTTTCTGTTTCCTGTATATTATCATAGCATTGTTACATTTATGTCCACATTTCCACGTTCAGATGTCAGTCAATCGATCATTTCAATTTTTTTAAACTTACATAGTTAGATGAATGACTATGTGTGACAGTTTACAATGTAGGCTATATTATGTGCTGACAACATTTGTTGTCAATGTACTAACAATAAAGTTGTCAGATAAATCTAATGTGGTACTATGTTTGCGAAGCTCTGTGGAGTTTAACAAGATGGTGAAAGAGGTTTTTAGGTCTGCATCATTTCTTCTTACATTTTTGATCATAAGGTTGTCAACCTTCACCAAATAGAAAACTTTGGACACATTACGCATCTTCAACAACATCCTTTACTTACGAGAATTGCTGGTTGAAATCAGACTAAGACAAAAAGATTAAGGGGTGAATAAATACATGATGGCACCAATTCACAAAGTCCTAGACTGTTGTTTTAAGTTTGATGGAATGGGTATAGACTGCCTACCTGTGGTACTCAGAATGGTAAGAATAAATGTTTGAATTTCCTTGTCGAAAGTAGTTAAAGCATTTCCAATTATGTATTGCTCGTTACTATCCGAATCCTCAAGATCCATCAAAGTCTAACAACTTAAACTGTTGCACTTTAGTAGAGATTTCCACGATGATGTTTCAGTCAGCCAGTCTGTAGGAAGGATGGAAACTACTTGACAATAAATGTCGTATATTGTGTAGAGTTGAAGACACGATAACTTGGAAATGACTGTTAAACCGTGTCTAAGCCTAAAATTAAAATCCATTGAAACTATTTTGAGTACTTAACATTTTTATCCACCCACTCTGTGGAGTAAAAATTGAATGAACAGTTTCTGACAGTTGACATGGTGAAATGCTGAAGCGATTAGATCAGTTCTCCAGAATCAAAGGGTTTTAGGGAACTTTACAAGTTAGAAGTAAATCCTTGACTAACCTTACGTCAAAACCCTCATAGATTAATCAGGAAATCTGAAGAATTTATAGAATTATAGAACATACACATTCTAGATAAGATATGTGGGAGGTTAGAATCAATTTGCTAGCTATCATATTTTTTTTTCAATGTCTGATTTACTATATACCTTATTTTCAAGAATTCTGGTTTGGTGGTTCTTTAAAGCAACAAGTTATATTGATATGTTAAAGACAAAGGTTTCTCGATGTGTTTTTGTGTCTACCTGACTAATAAGTGGAAAACCTTTGATAAACGAAAATGACTCACATAATGCCTATTATTCAGTTTATTTCCACCAATTGGCTATGAGAATAGTTGTTTCACTCATAAATAACATGGCTTTTTAAGTTAGAGTAATTAATTTGTTAAATAAATCGAATTGGTGAAAGCAAACTTGAATGAAGTTGAGAAAGCATCCTTGAAAATAATCTTTCATTTACTTCACCCATGAATGTTAATTTCGAAAAGCGTCTTTTCGTCCATTTAAAGCAGTTTATCGGAAACTTTGGCCTAGAAGTTTTCTTTATTAGTTTT